ATTCAACGAATGTACTTATAGGTATAAGAACATATCCGCGTATATTTATATATATATACAAATGGATATTCTCACATATACAATCTTTCATATTCATTTACATAAAGGCATGTTAGCTTGTAAATGACTATACATAATCATCAATATACACTGAAGTTCTCAATAGACGAGCATTGGTTGTGTGATGTCCAGAAGCAGGCAATATCATCTGATACTCGCTTACCTGATCCATACACATGGGTATAAACCCTCTCAGCTTCAACGGCTCCACTGTCTCGTCCTCAAGGAAGTCCCACCACTTCGCGATAGTCTGTGTCAACAAAGCAGCACGGGAGAGTTGGCAGTCTGTGGGCCATTCCAAACCATAGTCTAGGCCGTAGTAGTTGGAGTTGATCAACAGTGTATCGCGGCTCGAGAGATATACGTACATACCCCACCAATCGCTGACATAGTTATCAACTACCCATGATCTGTGTGTAGAACGGTAGGGTTACGTAGGGGATGTCTTTGTAGTTCTGTGCTTGTACACATATGCCTTTGGTGGCATGTGGGAGCGCTGATAGGTGTACGTGTTTGTGTATGTGCTGTTACGGTTTATGCTGTATCCTATTCACAGGGCGCTGCATTGTGCTATCACACGCACATCGTTGGTACAGTACAAACTGCACAGGCACGGATATGTAGAAGAATGAACATAGATTGGCGGGTGTTCCTATTGACCAGAAGTACGCGCTGAGCTGACTTTCGCCAGAAATAAACATATCTTGGACGAGGACACACCCGAGGCTAAACAGTAACCCACTCTAAAATACTTATAATATAATGTAATATAAACTTTGAAAGATAGGTGTATGTGAACACATCTTTGCACAACATCAGGTATTATGCTGGACTCTCCATCTAACAGTCGCTTCAAGGGCACACGAGTCCACCACACAAATGCACGACACATGGATATTCATGTACATACTGTTGAATTAACACACACACTTCTAAATTGCTCGTACGCAGGCGTGTGAATCATCCCGAGCATGAAATATGTCTTTGCAAACCAACAGCACTTTGCACTAGACACGCACCTCAACAAGTATAGTATGCACATACATTGGCTTTACACACAGTTAATATCTCACAGGTTCTGCAAAGAAACACTCCCAAGACAATTAGCTAATCATTTTAGCACAGTAGAAGCTATTGCACAGGTGATACTCTACGATAACCAGCCCAAGAATATAACACAGCAGAAGCAAAAGTTCAGGTGATAACCAAACATACCGTAGTACCAACAGCGTTTGCAACACATAACCACCCGTCAGCGATAAAAATTGCTGCGAACCTTGCTGTATCTCTTGCATCTCCACTTCAGAGCAGATTGGTCTGAGAGACTCGACATACTTATCAATTGTAGGCCTTAAAGATGGCACTGGCAAGTGACGTAGACCGCCTTTGATCAGGGGGAGTGAAATGATTGATAGTGATGGTAAGTTCATAAAAATAAATTAGAGGACAGATATATTGCGGCTTCGTTCTTGTACATTGTATAAATCCATAGTATAAAATGTAACAACGAGCTTGGCACGCACACATTGCCTTGTGGTCGCTCATCCGATACATGATCAGTATTGAAATTACACTAGACTCTCAAATCCAGAAGTCTACTACTAATTCCAGCTGCATACCTTGTAACTGATATGTCCTCCTGGATGCAAGGTACGTCAGCACATACATACAACCACCCCAGATCTTAGTCGCCAACGAAGGTTCAGTCTTCTTTCGAGGCTGTTTATCGTTGGAATCTGGAAAGGGTTCCATCACCGTAAGCCAACCCGTGTACTGACATACAAGCCGCATCAACACATTGCGGAAAGGTATGTACGCAAACAGTATGGGCTTGGTCACAATCCCTCTCACCATATCCATGGTGCAGTTGGATATCTAAATGTATACTGATACCAACTTAATACCGAGCATATACCCCTTGCTTCATATATGTTACACTACTTGTGTACACGTGTGTGTTTTTCATCTACTACTAATGCCCCAACGATGCCCCAACTTCTTGTGCACCTCTATGTCGTTAATATCAGGCTATGTGTCGCCTACCATACGCTGATAGTCCTGATACGCATAATAAAAATATGTGAAATATTTTGTACAAATTACAACTGGAAAGTCAATAGTAAGTGAGCTCTGACTCCACTCGTGGAGGAAAAAGCTGCCACTCCTTGAACTAGCAACCAATAATATGGCTCAAATTTGTTTTTTTTATTTCTGATCAACTGTAGGGATAAAAAGTTAAAAAGCAATGAACAAAATTGAAAACAGTGGCTACTGTCTTGCCGTCTTAGATCAGATTCTGAGATTCCGGATCTGCACTCCAAATTCATCCTGATGTAGAAATGCGAAAATTTCGTACATAGTACAATTGCAGATTTGTACATACTATTTAATTGTAGGCACTCGCAGTTGGTCAGAGGGCCGAAGGGAGCCTGACATACACTATGAGTTACAGAAGAACTCACTACATACATTTGCATGTAAATGCAACTTCAAAGGACGTGGGGACCACGAACCGATTGCTGACTTTTGGCGTGAATTATTCAAATGTATTTGTAGGTTGAATGTACAAGTGGATAGTTGAGAATTGCTGAAACCATACTTACGATCATACTTGATTGTAAAAACAGAGAGTATTGAGGCGGTTGTAATCTTGTGGAACTCCAGTTGACTTTGGAGGTCATTACGGTCACTATAGTCACCAAAATAGACAAACAATTCCTTGCCTGTTTGAGAGTAAACCTTTTAGCACTAACCCCGCATAGCTTCGTTGACACAAAAATTGGTCGAATCTCTAAAGGCGATGTTATATTGAGGCTCATAATTCATGTATTGAGGTTTAATTCAAGTCTACTTCGATATGTTGACTGTAAATCATTTGTTCGAGTGATGACCAATCAAGAGAATAGAAGTTTGAAAGGAAATACTTTGCAGAACGGCTGTGATTGAAATCCAATCAATGCCAAAGGTATCGAATTGTTGATAACATAAATACACTGGACAGTTACAAAACACTCACAAGCTCGTGCAGCACCAGAAGAAAGGCCGGACAACTCGCTGGTACGATATCTCTTGCAGTACATGGACATGGAAGTACTGCTATCAGGGCAATTAAGGGATCAAGATTTAAAAATAAAAATATTCTGTCTATCTCGATTGATAAACGGTTGTGAAGTATTGGTACGCCGAGTCCAATTCATTGGCCTGTTGTAAAGATTATCTGAACACCACATTATCCACATTTCTACTTTTCCAGAGAGGTTTTGGAATCAAGTTATTTTTGCATTCAAAATGTCAATGATTGTTTTTCAATGCTTCAACCAGTCATTCGATTGCATATTTCTACAGTTATTGTACAGTTGGTCAGCTTGTTCGATGTTCAAATTACACGTGCGTCGATATTGATTTCTAGGTTTACTATACTAATTCGTACTAAACGGTGCGCTTGCCAGAACCAAAAGTTAATCGGACTAGTCCGTGTATCTGGATATACACGTCCAACGAGGCATATTCTGTTCTTCATATTGTATTTGTCATTTACCGGCTGGTTATCAAATCTTCAAGCGACATGCCCAACTGACAATGGCGGCGGGCTCACCATGCGCACAGTTATAATTTATTGCTAAAATATCGTTGCATAAAATAACTCTTTCGTATATTTACATACGCTATCCCGACCAGACCAGTTCAACATAACTTCAACTTTAGTAAGTAGCATATATCCGGAAACTTGTAGTGTTATAGTACTACTGTAAGCTCACTGAGCTGCGAATATTGACAATGATCATTTGCGAAACCAAGGACAAGTTAGAATATATATATATATAT